CAGAATCATATTTTTCATTAAAGTAAAAACCGAAGGTTTCCACCATTTTTTAAAACATTTTCTGGAAGTAACTACAAATTCACTTGGACCAAAAAAAAAAGGCTAAAAATAAGAAGTAGCAAAACCATCTGCAGATGTTATAACTGTGTTTTTTAAAAATCTCAAGAGAATCAATGGAGGAAACTACTGGAAACACTAAAATAATCCAATAAATAATTACAAAACTGGTATAAACACAAACACACAAAAAAAACTACTTTCCTTGTATACATAATATCCAGAGGGCCATTTGAGACAACATGGATCAAACCACAGGACATTATGCTACGTGAAATAAACCAGATACAGAAAAAGAAATACTACATGATCTCACTTACAATTGAAATTGAAACAAGTCAAACTTGCAGAACCAGAGAACAGAATGGTGGTTGCCAGGAGCTGGTGGGTGGGGGAACTCAGATGTTAGTCAAAGGATACAAGCTTTCAGGTGTAAGAGAAACAAATTCTGAGGACCTAGTGTACAACCTGGTGGCTACAGTTAATAATGCTAAACTGTATACTTCAAATTTGCTAAAAGAATAGATCTTAAGCATTCTGCAGACACACACACAAAAGGTAACTAGGTAATGAATGTGCTAATTGACTGCAGTCATCATTTTACAATGTATATGTATACTAAATCATCATGTTGAACACCTTAAATACAAAAAAAACTTGTCAGTTACATAAAGCCGGGAAATTTTTATAGTTTAAACAATGAAGAAAAATCCTATTTATAATATCACACATACCATTAGAATAAATCTAACAAAGCTTGGGCAGGATCTTTATGAAGAAAATTTTGTTATGAAAGAACATAACTGAGCAAATTAAAAGACATACTATTATCAGCTAGAAGACTCGATACTCCCTAAATTAACCTATAAATTTAATATAGGGGAATTAGGCAAGCTAGTGCTGAAGTTGATCTGCTAAATAAATTAGCCAAGAAAAATCTAAAAGGAACTGATGAGGAAAGACTAGTGCTATGATATTAACATGCATGATATAGGCACAGTGACTAAAATAGTTTGGTTATTGGCAATAAATTTTCAGAGAATAGAGACAAACATAGAACTTCATGATGGAAGGGCTTCCCAGGTGGCACTGTGGCAAAGCACCCACCTGCCCATAGAGCAGACATAAGGGCCTGCCAATGCAGCAGATGTAAGAGATGTGGGCTTGATCCCTGGGTCAGGAAGATTCCCCTGGAGGAGGGCACAGCAACCCACTCCAGTATTCCTGCCTGGAGAATCCCATGGACAGAGGAGCATGGTGGGCTACAATCCATAGGTCTCAAAGAGTCAGACACAACTGAAGTGACTTAACACACACAATACATGATAAAGGTGGCATTTCAAAGCATTAGAGAAAGATGAATTATTCAGTAAATGGTGTTAGGATCACAAAGTGGCTATTTGGAAAACTAAGAGTTCCACTCCTAGAAATGTATCATCCAAACAACCTTAAACATTACTTCCTTCAGCCTTTTCGCTACATCACCCTCTCAGTGAGGCCATTCCCTGAGCATCCTCTTTAAAATTACAACACCTAAACCAACTCCCAATTGCAAGAAGGCCCTTTCTTACCTTTACTGTTTATTTTTCTTCATAACACTTATCACCAACAACACGCCGTTTGTTTACCATCTCTCTTCCTCACTAGAATTAAGCTCCATGAAGACAAAAATACTTGTATGTTTTTCACTCACTCATCTCCAGCATCCCTCAGTAAATGCTTTTTAAACTATATTCTGTAGCACAGAAGTATCCCTTCCACCTTCACTGCAAGTTCAGTGCCTATGAGCATGCTCAATCACACAATCGTGTCCAACTCTTTGAGACCCTATGGACTATAGTCTGCCAAGCTTCTCTGTCTGTGGAATTTTCCAAGAAAGAATACTGGAGTAGGTTGCCATTTCCTACTCCAAAGGTTCTTCCTGGCCCAGGGATCAATGGGGCCTAAAGTGTGATGTACCAGGGAGATTTCTAGAAAAGGTTTCCCTCACTTAAAAAAAAAAAAAAAAATGTATGGGAGAAAATGCTTCTTTCTTTCCAAGGCTGTGTCATGCCTACACATGATGCCTGGCGCTGCATCAGCCGTTCTGTAACTGCGGGGGGTGTCAACACACAGAAGATGAAGACATGAAAGCAAGTTCTGAACTTCAATGGGTGCTTTCATCACTGAATTAACCAACCTTGGAATCACTCTTCTAAAATAAACTCTTATTTTTCAGTTGTTCCTTCTGTTTCTTATAACATCCCGATACCTACTTACACGTGTGTGCAAGACTTGCCTAAGAATATTCATTTCGCTTGTCTTTACAAAGCAAACTGCCAGGATCTATAATTACTTCAACAGAGGCCTCATCAAGTAAAGTTACCGATGCCCAGTGTGTACTGGTAAATGTTTACCAATGAGCTAGAAGAAGGGAGAGTCTATCTGTAGAGTTTGCCCGTGTCCATGGTTTAAGTACTCCCATCAAGGTCAACTTCAATAACGGCCAAGTTTAACAACCAGCTCACTAAATTCTTGCCAATACAACAGTCAGCTCTCCTGAGCCCGTAAAAGCAGCTCCAGCACACCAATGCTTACATGCAGACAAGGATATAGATACTTATGAATAATATCCTAGAAATACTTAAGTGAAAAAGGGCAACAAAACTATTTATAATGGGCTTGGATTATAGAATCAGTTTTTTTCATGTCCAAGCATAGTTGCACAGGCTATCTTTAGAAAAATAATCAAGAAACCTGAACAAGATTGTAGAACTGGAGTGGATGAGAAAATTCATTATATACTCTCTAGGAAGCTGCTTAACACTTTTTTTTTTACCATGAATTACCTTTTTATAAAAATCACAATTTTTAAAAATTAAACATCACTAAATTTTCATTTTTGCAATGTAAGTCTCCTTTTCTTGATTACAAACTTTCCCCCTTTTTGATGCTTGAAATAATTCTAGTGAGATTTAACCCCTAACCAGAACTGGGTCAGTACACCAAACAAACTGAAATTAGAAAGATACATTTTGCACTTTTCCCCCTAAATTCATCTAAGCAATAAAACTGCTGCTGTTCAACTTTAAGACCAATCAAAAAAACTATACCAGTAATTACTTCATCTACAATTGCTTTTGTTAAAATAAACTGAGTCAAGAATGCAAAGCACACTCAGATATCCTTGAACCAGCCCTGTATTCACGAACTCACATAGCAAGATCACTTTGTACCTCATGAGTCATCACATGGAAATCATCAGGATCTAACGCAGAGAAAGGAAGCAATAACAGTACCACAAGCAGCCTACAAAACTTAGAGGTCACCAAAGGTCACCCACAGCAACAAGGCTCTGCACCTCAGGCGTGCTCTATGCCACACACCAGACCCCTTCAATCAACAGGCAACTCGGCGCATCCACAAGCAAGGGGTCTGTTTTCAGTCCTTTGCTAGAGTCTGCCCTCTTGTCCAGTTTAACTTCCTCTCAATTGTTAGTGTCAGAAACACAAGGAAATAGATTTCATGTTTAGACTGATGTTTCTTCCCCTGCTCGTGTCCACCTCCTGCTATGCCAGGAAACTGCATTCAAGTTCCATCGTGTGGTTGCCCAACAGGACACGGGAAGCCCAGACCTGCCAGCTGATGACTGGTGATGGCAATGCAGTGAGGTGGAGCCGTGGTCTAATAACAGAGGGAACAGCACTGAAGCAAGGTCAGGCCACTGAACTATCAAGGATGACATTTACCAGGTTTTTCCCTACACAACAAACACATGCGTGGTATGGCACTCACACGTTCAAGCAGTTTTTCTTTACCATGACAAAATGGCTCAACAAAGGAATGTAAAAATGGAGATGCTAGATGGGAGGGGCGGGGGGGACATCTATTCTATGTATTCTCCTTCCTACCCTCCTACGTCTAAAGAATTCTCCATTTTCCCCACCATCAACAACAAATCTACAACACTTGGTAAACGTTAAAGACAAGCATTGAATCAGAAGGGACTAAGACCTGAGGGGGGTAAAAGAAGAAGAAACAAAGGAGCAAGTGAGTGGCAACACAAACCCATGGTCATAAGCAAACTAGAGCATTATTCCTTAGGATGAAGATTTTTACAGGTATTTGATAACTCTGATGCTAGCAAAATATTACTGGACTTCTCAAGAATGTCAGCAAGTTCTTAAAGAGGTTTTTGAATCCAAAGTTGAACAAGGCAGTAAAAGAGAAAAAGATTTTCAAATATTAATGTGTGTTACATAATAAATTTTACATTATTGTACAATAACTTACAAAAATGCAAACGAGGCTTAAAGTCAAAGCTTTCAACATGATCTAAAATGCAAATCACATAAGCTAAAGCCAAGTGTGAATTAATGTGACTATGGCCAAAAGTCATAGTAAATATGAAGCAGCATAAAATCCAACCATTTCTTCTGAGATAGTCTTCATTCAGTATTGTTAAAGAGTAAGACCATGCAACTGAAAAACCAAACGTCAAAGAAATGATACGTGTTGGGACACAAATGGTCTTCAAAAGGGAAAATGGATAACAATAGTATTTATCATTTTAGGGACAAGAGATGTAAAATACAAGATAGCTATGACATTTAACAAGTATATTCAGGTAGATTAAAAGGCATCATTTACGGCTTGACTCAGCTCAAAAAGCTAATAAATTAGTAGTGAAGGCTCCATTTAAAAGCATTTTAGGCTTTTAATCTTGAGTGGGCAAATCCAGCTCAGTATTAATTATTACCACTGCAAAGAGTGTGCCAAGAGAGTACTATAAAATCCACATTAAGACAAACATTAACTGAGGTGATACTTTACATGGGTTAACTGTACTTTGTTAAATTTCAGGGTATTCTAAGAAATACCAAATTGCATCTAATTGTGCACAGCACAGAATCACAAACACCAATGCTGGATAATAGGCCTACTAAGTGGGTGTCCACACTTACCGTTCTCCACATAGGGATGAAAAGGTAAGACCAGAGCAAGGATGACCCTGCCTCTGGTTGGCTCCAAGACACTTCTGATATCTTTTAACAAAGTCAGAGGCTGATCACAGCGGTCCAGCAAATTTAAGCAGCTGATGACATCATACTGGAATCCTGTCTTCTGCCATTCATTTATACCAAGCACTCTGGAAAAATCAGAAAGATACAAAAACCCTTAAAGACATCTTAAAAAATATGTAGATGCCAGTAAAGACTTTAATTTTGTCTTCCAAATCAAAGTAAGTTCAAAATCATTTATAATTTATAGTTGTAGTAATAAAATTGGCCATGCAAAGGTAAAGAACCATATTTCTTTAAATTCGGCATTTTACCTATTTCCAAAACATACAAAGTTTCCTTTGTAAGAATTAGTATGTTGAGTAAGTACCAAGATATAGGTGATAGAAATGGTTATGAGACTATGGCATCAAATTCTTGAACATCAATTAATGAACGAAGAATTCTACTTTTACATTCACTGGGACATAAGTGTAGAATACATCATATATTTGTGTTTCCTATTCCTAGGCTGCCTCCTATTTTAAGAATGGCTAGGGTGATATAAGATAATTTCCATTTACAACCTTTGATCTTTTGCGCACATCTATGTTCTAGGAGAGAGATACTATTTCATACTCTAGAATCTTCATATCTAAATAACTATAGAAAAAATAAAGCACGGGACATCCTACTAAAACATAAAACAGTATGTGAAGACCATGGTTAACACACCTCTCTCAGCACTTCATATCTCATGCACACAGTCACTCTCTCCCGCCTCCTTCCCTCTCTCCCCTCCCTGCCTTCTGTGCCCTAAGAACACTTTCTAGTCCTTTACAGTGTTTTACTCACAGAGCGTAGGAGTCCTGATAGCAAGTCTTTGTCACAGTGTTAAGGAAAGTCTATTAATTACTCACTCCTGCTCAGTTACATCAATCAAAATGTGGTAGGTGAGGCATGTTATGACAGAGACAGGAGCAAAAGGAAACAAGAGAAAGGACCTTTTAAACAAGTCTTGGATCACACTGAGCAGATATCTTATATTTCAGAACATTTTTGCATAGCAGAATAAAAAGAAATACAAACTACTCAGATGCATCTTCTCAATCTATATTTTCAAAAAAACTAAAGCCTCCTCCAAAACAACACTGACGAACTTCAAGGAGCTAGTCAGATTTCTGTCACTTGAAATAAGTGGGGCATTACAGCTCCAAAATCACTTTTAAAGGCTGTCTGTATATTAATACCTTAGCCGAACAGCCAGTTTAAATTCATAAACTTGCAGAAGACAAACTATATATCTGATTCAAAAAAACAAATAAACTTAGACCTGATTACAACAAAGCAGAAGCCGAACATCACTGGCATGTTTTAATCTAGAATAAATCTCACCAAATCCATCTCAGAATCACTTGAAGATAGGTTGTTTCCATGTTGGTTATTTTGAAAGATAGAAACACATGCTTTTAACAGAAAATTAAAATCTTGACAGCCTTAAAACCAGGACAGTTAAAACTATACTTTTAGAGTCCCACTTCATCTTTACTTCTATTTGGTGATTTCTACTTGTAAACTCAGTTCCACTGATAAAGACAAATTTACCAGCCCCACTCAAATTGCATGTTAGCCCAGGAATCCTAAAAATATGTTTGAATTTTCCTCTCTTATAAGAGGAAATTTCCTCTTATAAGAAAAATGAAAGAAGTTACTTGTCCAAGCTCTTGTAAATCACGAACAGAGTAGAAATTACAGCTTGGGAGCTCTCCTAGTAGGTTATTCAAGACAATGAACCTGCTCTCTCCATACAGGTCAGAAAGAACCTAACAATCAGTCTTTGTATAAATGCTTCCAGGGTTGTGGGCTGAGAGTGAACGGCTATCCAGTTTCCAGTATCCTTCCGTTTAAAAAAAGAAGAGTCTGAACATAAAGAATAGAATTAACTACAATGTTTTCCTTTCTTTTTAAGAAAGATCCTTAACCTACAGATAATGCATTAAAATCAAGTATCTTTAAAATTTACATTAAAGATCTTTGTTCTCTGGTGTCAAAAATGTACACACAACTCCTTTTGAACTACCCATGTATGACCTACTCATGCAGATGTAATTCCAAGCCCATCCCCACTGCCCGTCTGCATCTTGCCATACACTGGTATCCTCCACCATCTATAAAACACCATTCAGATCACATAAACTAATGTGCATGTTAACTTTTGGTAAAAGCAGTCTGAGGAACTAACCATGCTGCCAAAATTATTTTCCTGCCAAAGAACAGTTTTTATTTGCTGTCATTTGAATTGTGGAATTCTTTGTTAGTGTACATAATCAAAACGTTATTAGGTTGGTTCAAAAGTAATTGCAGGTTTTCACTGTTGAACTCTGCCATTTGATATTTGAATTCATTCTTAAATAAATGTAGTTATGTTATATATCATTTTAATGTGCACTTCTCACTTTTTTTTTTGCTAATGACTTATTACTTGCTGTTTATATTTATTTTAGATTGTAGAAATGGTGTTAGACAGAAAGCAAATTTGAGTGATTTTTTTATTCGTCATGAAGCTGCAGAGACAATTTGCAACATCAACAACACATTTGGCCCAGCAACTGCTAATGAACATACAGTGCAGTGCTGGTTCAAGAAGTTTTGCAAAGGAGACGAGAGCCGTGAAGATGAGGAGTGCAGTGGTCGCCAATGGAAACTGACAATGACCGGTTGAGAGGATCACTGAAGCTGATCCTCTTACAACTACACAAGAAGTTGCCGAAGAACTCGATGTCGACTATTCTAGTCATTCACCACTTGAAGCAAATTGGAAAAGTGAAAAAGTTCAATGAGTGGATGCCTCATGAGCTGACATAATAAAAAAAATCGTTTTGAAGTGTCTTCTCTTATTGTACACAAGAACAATGAACCATTTCTCGATCAGACTGTGACGTTCGACGAAAAGTGGATTTTATATGACAACCAGCTATGACCAGATCAGTGGCTAGACCAAGAAGCAGCTCCAAAGCACTTCCCAAAGCCAAACTTGCACCAAAATACAGGTCATGGTCACTGGTGGTCCACTGCCAGTCTGATCCACTAGAGTTTTCTGAATCCCAGCAAAATCACTACATCTGAGAAGCATGCTCAGCAAATCAATGAGATGCACTGAAAACTGCAATGCCTGCAGCCAGCATTGGTCAATAGAACGGGCCCAATTCTTCTCCACACCAACGCCCAACTGTATGTCACACAACCAACACGTGAGAAGTTGAAAGAATTGGGCTACAAAGTTTTGCCTCATCCACCATATTCACCTGACTTCTTGCCAACCAACAACCACTTCTTTCAGCATCTCAACAAGTTTTTGCAGGGAAAACACTTCCACAACCAGCAGGAGGTAGAAAATGCTTTTCAAGAGTTCATCAAATCCTGAAGCACAGACATTTATGCTACAGGAATAAACTTATTTTTTCATTGGCAAAAATGTGTTGATTGCAATGGTTCTTTTTTGATTAATAAAGAGGTGTTTGAGCTCAGTTATAATGATTTAAAACCCACAGTCTAAAACCGCAATTACTTATATACCAACCTGATAACTGTATAGGACTTCCCTGGCGATGCAGTGTATAAGAATACGCCTGTCAATGCAGGGACACAGGTTCTATCCCTGGTCCCAGAAGAGTCCACATACCGTAGGGCAACTAAGCCCGTGCACAACTACTGGAGCCCATGGGGTGCGCTCTAGGGCCCACAAACCGCCACTACGGAGTCTGTGTACCCTAACTGAGTCTGTGTACCCTAACTACTGAAGCCCGCTCACCTAGAGCCTGTGCTCCACAAAAAAAGGAGCCACCACAAGGAGAAGCCCATGCACCGCAAGAGGAGGAGCCCCTGCTCGCTGCAACCAGAGAAAGTCCACGCAAAGCAATAAAGACCCAGAGAAGACAAAAATAAACTTTTAAAAAAACTTAAAATTTAAAAAAAGTAATTGTATAATCCATTCCTAAATATCTATGACTCTTACAAAACAGCATTTCTGACCCAAGAAGAAAGGTGTCTGTTCAGGGGATTATTATTTTCAAGAAAGTGAGTTAAGTAATAGTTTGCCTTCAAGGAGGATTTAAAGTACACCTTCCTTAGAGAAGTAACAAAGCAATCAGTATTGTGATATATCCTAAATAAAAAACCAAAACACCAACAATGTAAAGAAAAGTTTTATTTTTGTTTTAAAAATCAAAACCACATCCTTAAATTTTATGATCAGGCTTTCTGGCATAAACAATAGTCAATGCAGAGGGAAATCTGGCCATTTTATTGATTTATTTCAAAATGAAATCTAGAACCTTTGTTTAAAAGCCAGGTTTTCATGGGCCCATATACTGAAGAGAAACAAAAAATAGCTACCTCCCAAAAAGAAAGACAGAAAGAAAAAAAACAAAAACATGGAAGTAAGCTAAAAGTCTGCCCGGCCATCACGGATTAGACGAACTCTACCACTTGTCCATTAAAACCTCAAACTGCATCAAAAGTTGCCACTTTTGTGAATATGCTTTTATTTCACAGTAACAACATCATGGAGGGAGTGTCAACCAGTATGAATTCCCTATCTAGGTCAAACTGCAAAAAGATTTTGGATGTGTGTTAGGGGGGCAAGGTCAGCTTTTGTTGTTGTTTCATTTTGGTTTTGGCTGCTCCATGCAGCTTGTGGGATCTTAGATCCCTGAACAGGGGTTGAACCTGGATCACAGCCGTGAAAAAAAGTGTTGAGTCCTAACCACTGGAGCACCAGGTACTCCTCCCAAATTAAGTATTTTTTACATGGTGTACAAGTTCATCAGGTAACATAACATGCAAACTCTGCATGTACTGAATCACTAATGTGAACATCTGAAGTCTCACTTAAAATTCCATTTGGCCACTCAAGTCTCTAGAAAGGTTTAAATGGCAGGCAAGCAAGCAAAGACATGGCTCAGTGTAGGTGGGAGAAAAATCACTGGAAGACACATTTCTAACATCTTCCTCCCCATATTCACTTCAAAACATGGAAGAGAGTCAAATTAGGAACTGGGCATGATTTAAGTCACTGTTGTAACAAAGGTCAAAGCCTTGACATGGTGAATTAATTTCTAATTGAAGGAATATATTTCCAGTACCACCACAGAGACCCACAGGATCTAATCTGAGACAGACTACTGGATCTTACAAATCAACCTCAAACAGATAAGCCTGCTATAACATCCCTCAGAGCCACTTAAACACTGACAGTGACAAGGACTGGAATGCTCACGCTCTTGGGAAGGTCAGTCTCCCTTACCTTTAACTCAGCTTCTCAGGCTTTGCTGGGCTTGGTTACACCTGAGACTACACCCTCTTCCTCCCTCCACTTGGTAAGGAACCCGCCTGCCGGTGCAGGAGGCATGATTTAATCCCTGGGCCGAGAAGATTCCCTGAAGGAGGAAATGGCAAACGACGCCCGTATTCTTGCCAGGAGCATTCCCATGGACAGAGGAGCCTGACATCCATACGGCTGCAAAGAGCTGGACACCACTGAAGCGACTTAGCATGCAAAACCCCACTTACAGTAATCCTTCCCCCTCCTTCCTACTTGGTATTCTCTTCCTCAGGCTAAAAAAAATCTATGTTTTCCAAAGTTGAAAACTAATCCTGCTCCAAGAGCTATGCTAACATGTTCTGTCTCTAGGGTTAGTCTGTTCCTAAATTAATCTCTTACTTACAAACTTAGATGGGTAGGAAAGTGAGGGAGTATGTAATTGTTCTAAGTCTAACGCCGGCTTCCAAAATATCAAAGGAGGCAGGTTATATACCTCTACCTCTCACATTCTATACTCAGCACCTTCTTCCACTCAATAGAATCCATACACTTCACATCCATTTGGAAGAATATTATTAAAAAAAAAAAAAAAAGAAAGAAAGATCAGAAAATAGCAAGTATGGCAAAGATGTAGAGAAACTAGAACACTTGTACACTGCAAGTGGGATGTAAAATGGTGCAGTTGCTGGGGAAAGGTATGGCAATTCATCAGAAAATTAAACACCAACTTACCATATGATCAAGCAACTCCACTTCTGGGTATGTACCCCAAAGAAGGGAAAGCAGTGACTCAAACAGCTATCTGTACACCCATGTTCATAGCAGCATTATTCACAATAGCTAAAAGGTAGAAGCAACCCAAGTGTCTACTGACAAATGAATGGATAAACAAAATCTGGTATACATAAAATGGAATATTACTCGGGCTTAAAAAGAAAGATTTTGACACATGCTACCACATGGATGAACTTTGAGACATTATGCTCAGTGAAATAAGCCAGTCACAAAAGGACAAATATTGTACAATTCTTCAAGGTTTCTAGAGTAGTCAAATTCATAGAGACAGAAAGTAGAACGGTGTCTTCCAGACAAGACTAGGGAATCAGTTTAATGAGTATAAAGTTTTAGTTGGGAAAGATAAAAAGGTTCTAGAGATGAATGGTGATAGTGGTTATACTGCAATGTAAATATACATAATACTACTATACACTTGAAAATTGTTAAAGTGGTAATTTTTCGTTACATTTTTTTATCACAAATTTTTTAAGTTTTTTTAATTAAAAAAATAAATAAAAACAAGATTTGAGAACGTCAGGTTCAAATTAGGGAACAAGTCCCTACATTTGATCTCTCTTTTCCAAACTCTCACTCGCCTTTTTCCTCTCTGTGTGTATGTGTTAGTCGCTTAGTCGTGTCCAACTCTTTGCGACCCCATGGACTGTAGCCCGCCAGGCCCTGCTGTCCATGGAATTCTCCAGGCAAGAATACTAGAGGGAGTAGCTATTCCCTTCTCCAGGGGATCTTCCCAACCCAGGCACTGAACCTGGTTCTCCTGCATTGCAGGCAGATTGTTCACCATCTGAGCCACCAGGGAAGCGCTCTTCTTCCCTACAGTGCCAGAATCTCAAATTCAGAAAAACACTGCTAAGGAAAGAGGATTTCTCTCTCAATTTCCACTTAATTGTAAGCTGACCCTTGAACAATGTGGTTTTGAACTGCCTGGATCCACTTACAGATGACCCATATTTTTCAAAGGTAAATACTACAATATTACATGGTCTGGTGCTGGCTGAATCCATGGACGTGCAGTAACTGCAGACACACAGGGCTGACTATAATAATATGTGAATGAACCCCTGCGCTATTCAAGAGTCAGCTGTAACATGGAAAGATTTTTTAAAAATTTCTCATCATGGAAAATTGTTTCTGATTTGTATCATTTAAATAAAATAATATTAAGAAACACATCTAAAACCAAGAAATATACTCTAAACCATGTCTAAAAACTATACCTGTATTTCTTCTTCTGCAGCTGCCATATCATAGTTTCAGACAGCTCAGTGGCATAAATTTCTTCAAAATGAGGGCTCATGATTTTTGTGACTTCTCCATCTCCAGCACCTAAATCAAGAAGTCTATGGGTTTTCCAGTCTGGATTAATTTTAAGCAGTCTTTGAAACTGATCTGGTGAAAACACAAACATTGAGCCTCTTCCTAGCAACCTGGAAAAGAGAAAAAGGACAAAAATGGATGACTCTGTATGAAATAAGCACTCCCACCCAACACCCACACAAAACAGTGATATGGCCCCAACAGCCTCCTGAACTTACAAAATGCTTATTTTATAAGATTATATGATTAAAATAGACAACGTCTATACGATTCATGGTTAAAAAGCAAAGTTAACAAAGTGAGAAAACACCTCCAAATATCATCATCTGTCTCTGAGGCTGCAAACAGTCACCCAAAAGAGTGAGGACAGGAAGAGGAATAAAAGGGGTGAAGGCAAGAAGAAAAATATAAGAAAATAAAAGATGACTGTGAAAAATTGAAGTCAAAATAGGAAGCAGTAATAGAAAACATGTATATCGGTTTAAAAAAATGTCAGGCCAACAGAATCAGACCACAACACTAGCCAATAACTGAGCAGAAAAAGCAAATTGGCGGCGGGGTTTAGGGGGGAAGCCACTTACAATATGAAACTGAACAATGAGTATAAAAAATAGGTCTAGATAATAGATTTTAAAAAGACACTAGAGAAAAGAAGAGTGGTCCTTGTGATATCAGTTAATTTACATTTAAAAGTAGATTCATACTTGGGTCAGTTTGTATGTTATACAATTGGCTAGGTCCTGTTATTTCTAAAAATCCTAAAAAAATCTCTAAAACTTAGTAATGTCTTTGAAAATAGAGGAGTTAAAATAGAGATCAAAGAGTGCTCTAAGAAAAGCAGCTACAGATCACACCAAGTCTCAAGGAAGCATCATCTCGGGAAGTAAAATGTGTCCCTACTTAGAACTTGTTTTCTAGCTCTGAAATCCTAGTCTGTCTAGGGCAAGGATTCCAAACTTCCTGTAAGCAGCAGCAGCATTTCTTTAAGTGAAGCAGACGTTACTCAGACAACATAAAATGTAACAGGAGAGCAGAGAGCGCCAGCACTGCTGCCAGCCCGCTTCCACCCTTTCTCTGCAACCTGAAGCAGCTCCTAAGGCGCTTCCTCTTCAGACCCAGGAAAAGTCTGAAAACCACTGGTCTAGGAAATGGTAGGGTAATCAGTACTGTTCTGCTGCTTTCTGGAAACAATCATAAGGTACAATAAGCTTGTTATGCAGTGACTGGAAGGATGTGTGCAACTGGGTGTTCCTGGTAAGACTGGTTTCAGAAAAAAATTAAAATTATGGAGCGAGTTCCTCCTCTTCTTTCCCTTAGGAGGGGTCAACCAAATCTAACAATGTGTTTGCAGTAAATCTTCTGCCCCACAGAAATGCTAAAAAAAATGGGAGAGGGAAACCCTCAGAGATTTTCACCAATACAACCACCTCCCATAGAAAACTTCATCTCCTAAACTTTGTCTTTAACTCTCAATTGCTCCTATCTTCGAATGGGAAAACAGGATGAAAAAGAAATCTGAGAAAAGGAACTGAACTTTCTGAAATAGCTACGTAAAACTTCACAGAGGAACCACAATCAGAATAAGAAGAGGTAAAGAGAAGTTACAAGCTTGGGGGAGCTTAGGGGATGCATGTTTCAAATGTTGGTGCCCACCTGCCATAGAACCAAAAGTAAACTGCCAAACAGTTACATGGCTTAAGCTTTCCCAATTATAAAATAACACGCTTCCCTAGCCATATCTTTTGGAATCTAAGAACCCATGATATGATAATCATAAAATTCTAGAGCTAGAGGTCACCTGAGGTCAAAGCTCATGTCAAAAGGGCACCAGAGAAAGAAGCATTGTCCTATATCCAAAGACCATGAGCAACAGAGGCTACACCAAAAGATTTAAACAAAACCTCACAACAAAAAAAAATCTAACTTCATTGAGCCCAAATGACCTCTGCCCTCTAGGGAGCACTGGGGGTAAGTGGGGAGGGTTTGGGTGGCCACAAAGATTGGAGGGTGCTACGGTCACTCAAGTGGGCAAGGAATGCCAAGACAATGACTTTGCTCAATACAGGTTTCTGGCAAACACATACCATGGAAAGGCACAGCTCTCTAATTTTTCCTTAAGTCCCAAAGTTAGTGATGTCCATGTATGCGTGTGTGTGTGTGTGTGTGTGTGAGAGAGAGAGAGAGAGAGAGAGAGAGATAACCATTCTAGATTCTCTGGCCTAAAATTCTCCTTAAGTTCCAAAGTTAGTGATGTCCATGTATGCGTGTGTGCGTGTGCGTGTGTGTGTGTGAGAGAGAGAGAGAGAGAGAGCCATTCTAGATTCTCTGGCCTAAATTCTCTCTAGATTTGGAATCTACAGAGGAAGTATGCCTCCCTCCCCCTCCCACCCCCACCCACCCCCCCATCCACATGCTCAGTTATCTCTGACTCTTGTGACCCCATGGATTGTAGCCAACCAGACTCCTTTGTCCATGGATTTCCCAGGCAGGAATACTGGAGGCGCTGCCATTTTCTGCCTTAGGAGAGCTTCCTGACCCAGGCATGGAATACCATGGCCCCCGTGCCTCCTGTCTTGCAGGTGGATTCTCTACCAGTGCCATCAGGGAAGCCCACGGCGGAGGTATACCTCCTTACAAACAGCTTCATAAAAGAACACAGCTATCAAGTCTCTCCTTTCTTGGTTTTCCCCTTTCCCACATAAAGGAAGTCCAATATGTATCTTACTTTTTAATTCAAGAAGGTTACCACACTAATTATTTCTGTAAGAGATAGCCACTCATGGTAATAAGCTACCACCGCCATGGAAAGTACCAATGGGCTCAAAATTAAGCTTTCAGCTGAGAACAGGGTACAGGGCAGGAGATGTTTTTGTTCTATTGCGGGAGGGGGCATTGAGGGTGGATGGAAGGGGTGAGGATGGGGGTTATTTAAAAAAGAAAAGCAGAAGAACTGTAGATGAGGGAAGCCAAAGGGGACTTAGTATTGCCCCTCTGACCAAAACGTGAAACCCAAGAGCAGAGAATTTTAACCAGGGGCCAACAGGGGAGAGGTAGGAGGAAGGGTCAGAGTTTGAAATCTCCCCAAATTATATACAAATGTTCAATGTAAGGACTATTTGAACAGAGAATTTCTACCTTATATCACTTTCAAAGAGGTACAGAACCCCAAAAAGGCTAAAAATCACTGCTGTGGTGACTAGCCTGGTCCTCTCGCCCAAGAAAAAAGGTATAGAACAGAAATTCAATGCAGTGAATTTTAGAAACAAAATGGCAGACCAAGTTGTATAAATTCAACTACCAACACAAAAATAACAACTGTGTGCTGAAGTCAATTTAAGGCAACTTCATATAAACAATGAAGAAAGTTAAGTAAGAAATCTTGAGAAATGGCTCATGGTGCCTGAAAACATATTTAAGGACCAGATGACAGACTGGGAGCCAGACAAGACATTCAGTAGAAGCTGGCTCCAAACCTGAAGAGAAGAGAAAGTGGACCCAGCCAGTAGCTGTACGTGGTCCAACAGGCTTTTCAAGCACTGAGCCCTGCTACTTCTCTCTTTGGAGTTCTGGATTCTTAGGCTTTGGGGTTTGAAAAGTTGGATGAGAATGGATAAAAATATTCCTACAGTGTTTTCCATAGATTTAGGTGAGCAAACCACTCGAGGGACAGAGAATTTCACAAGTTTACAAAATCCTGGTGAGTCTAGACATTACATAAGAACTGAGGGAGAATCTGTCACTTGAACAAGCCACCATTTACTGCTGGGCTGAGGTAAATTAGATCCTTCCCCAGAACACCTGCTTCTGGGAAGTGTGCTTATGGCAAAGATCTTAACTCTTTGACCTACAGCTTTGTTCCAAGTATCCTGCTCCTCTCTAATAGATCAGCAGCAGGATAGGCATTACCTGGGAATGGGTTAAAAATTGGGACCACAGAAAAGTGTGGTCCCACCCCAAACCTACTGACTCAGACTCTGTACTTTAACCAGATGCCCAGATGATTTCTGTGCACATCAAAGTTAGGAAGCACTGTAATTCCCATCACAGAAACACAGAACAATGAGGCTGTTTATCAAGTTATAGGGAATTTTAAAAGCAACCTGCCGAGGCTGAGACACAGGGCCAAGGATTTTGACTGCAAGTGTTGTAGCTGTGGAGATGGTCAACATCTCAACGAGGTAACTTTTCTTTTTCCTAGACCTAAGGATAAAGAAAAAATTATCCAAGATTCACTTACCCATTGATAGATGTTCTAGACATAAACAGGCTAAAAACAGATGACACGAAAGAGTGATATAATTGGATAAATAGCCAGCCCGATTTCTCAATGCTGTTGTTTAAGAAGATCTGTGTTCCTTGATCAAGGTAACTCTGAACAAAGACAGCCTGGAGTGACTCGCATAATTTCTCTCTGTTGCACACATACCACTAAAAAGAAAGAAGAATAAGAAAAATGAAAACACAGAACTGAAGCATCATCTAAAAAATCCAAAAACAAAAAACACAAGACTAAATTGAATCTAAGATTTCCAAATACCATAAATCTCATGGCACTTTGAGAATAATCAACTCTTATATGACCCCTATAAGGTATAAAATACTTCCTCCTACCTAGTTTCTGGTTTAACTCTCATTATCTTCAGGGCAGGTAATGGAGGAAGGGTGAAGAGGCGTGCGAGTCATGCAGCTTGGTAGGCGACAGAGCCAGGCAAGTGCACTGACTCCTGGCTCAAAACTTCTAGCACTACGCCCCGCTGTACCCCGAGATTAGGAGAGCTCTGGTGGCCTCTCCTTCACGGAGATGCAACGCAAGAAGGCAGTAACTACCAACATTAACTGTGTTTTTTATCTAAAAACACTCAATGCAGTGATTTAACTCGAAGCCACCAAACAAACCAATAAGTAGCAGGATTTAATATTCTAGTGACCAGGGACTTCCCTGTGGTCCAGTGGCTAAGACTCCATGTTCCCAGAGCAGGGGGGTCCTGGTTCGATCCTGGTCAGGCAACTAGATCCCACATGCTGCATCTGAGAGTTCTCACGATGCTATGAAGATTCAAGATGCCGAGGGCTGCCAACTATGAGCTGGTGCAGCCAAATAAGTAAATTAAATATTTTTTTAAAAAAATTCCAGTGACCAGATTTAGCTACCCTTTTTATTGTGGGCTATAAAGAGACCTGTAGAAATACTGGTGTGCTTTACCAGATCATTTAACACTCTAACAGACAGGAGCCAAATGTGCTTAAGAAAGATTAAGATCTTACTTAAGGTCATATGCAAACAATAAGAAGACAAAGTAATAACATGCTAAGAAGCAGATTGCCAGGAACAGGCAATACCCAGAACATACTTTTTAGAACAAAATTCAAGGACCTCAATTGTGGCTAAAGTGTGACCTTGTGTGATAAATGTTTCTCATTTTCACTCAGAGTTAGTACACCAAGGTGGGAAGCAGCCTGTGGGGTGCAGCAGCTTCAGAGTGAGCCCACCATCAAGTCCTGGCTCAGCCATTCCTGTGTAGGAGCTCAAAGAATCAAATCTCTGAGACTCTGTAAATTCATCACTGGTTTCTGTCTACCCTGGTAGGTTACTCTGAGGATTAAACAAGTTAATGCAGGCTTATCCTCAATACGGGGCCAGACACGAGACTCCTATAATAATAGCAATGAGATAAGGGTCCTCTAACACGGCCTGATAAATAAAAGTCAGTCCATTAAGTATATGATGAAACTGTAGAGTAGATCAGTTACTATTAATCTGTTATCAACTAAGAAACAATTTCCCCCTATGAAGAGACAAAAGTAACCTGCTTAGCCTGACAAGTATGACCATTCATCAGCAGTAGGTTTCCCGTAACTGCTTACATAACTGATGGACCAATTTTACAGTCATCCTAAGCTTGCTAAATATTGGAAGAAACCTTGGGTAACATTCCCAACACTAATGCTGTTATAACCAAACAAGCACATTATAGTTTCAAAGATTAACTAATATTTTTTACAAACTCTGTGCCCTGACTTGATAAACCAAATCTTTCAAACTGCTGATGGTTTTGTGTTAATTTACCATTCAATACTTTTACCAAAACTGCTTGAACTTGATACTCCTTTATTTTTCCCACTATATGACAAGCTATGAAGCTTCTTACATTCACTGCCTACATTTTTCATCTTGGTCTGAAGATGTTCGTGCTAAGTATTAACTAATTCTTAATACGCATTGTGCCTGAAGTTATGCCCCAGTGCAGGTCATAAACCATTTTTTATTATACTCCTGACCTCCTGGTTCACATTCTAAACTGTAATACTGAAGCCATTCTAACTTTTATTTTCTCTTAATTCTCTGAAACGACTAATCAAGATGAAACCCAACACCTGGGTAATAGGCAATCAGGTACATTCTATTACTGTGGACAAGAAGTCATTCACGTGGAACAGAGGAGCTAAGAATTCCTTGGACCCACTTGTAAATGGACAACCAGAACAATAACGGACTCTGACTTCCAGAACTAAGCAAGAACTGGCACCATTAACTGCAAATAATGCTTATAAATGCTCCCCTCCCCCCAAAAAAGTCTCAAGTTTTTAACAGCATTTCTCTCAATTCATCAATATTAACACATGTGGTTGAACCTTTACTGCCAGACAAATCTTTCAAAAAAGAAAATGCTTCCTGATCAAAATATGCTACAGAATAAAAAGGAGTAATGCCCTTCTCATTAAAGATGAAGGTTGAAATACATGTTCCTCCTGACAATCTGTATGAAACAAATGTCAATTCCATGGCAGCATTATTCATAATTACCAAAAAGTGGAACAATTCCAATGTCCATCAACTGATGAATGGATAAACAAGCTGTAATTGATTCATACAACAGAATATCAATCAAACACAGAAAGGAATGAGGCACTGATTCCTAAGATTTGAACTATGAATATTTTGTTAAATGAAATAAGCCAGTCACAAAAGGCCACAGATTACATGATTTCATTTACATAAACTGTCCAGAATGGGCAGATTCAGAGACAGAAAGTAGATCGTGGCTGCCAAGGGTTTGGGGAGAGGAGACAATGGGGAGTGTCTTCATGATAATGAATATGGGATTTCGTTATCAAGTGATGAAAATGTTCTAAAATTAAGACAGTGGCGATGGCTGTACAACTTTGTGAAGTCTACTACTAACCATTGTACACTTCAAAAGATGAATTTTACAGTCATGAATTATATCTTGATAAAACTTTTTTTTTAAAAAAAACACACAAACATCAAAATGTAGGTGGCATTTTGATCTTCCAGAAACTTAAAAATGGTTTGAAAATTTAAGGAACTAAGCACATTTCTTTGAAACTGTAAATTTTCAAATGTAAATCTTAGCATGTCACAACCCTGCTTCACAGAAGTTATCTTAAAATAATATTCAAAATACTTAATATGGCTAACGAGGCCCTACAAAATTTGTCCATTCTGTATCCACAGCCTCACCTCATGACACTCCCTATCAACCCGTAACAACCAGTCAGTCACTATGTCACAGCACTGTACCCGTCTTTCTTTTTCTGGAAGGCTCATTTCCCAAAGCTGTTTCACCTGGTATTTGCTGGCTCCTACATTTCCCACTACCCTCAAATGACCAAAGCCTAAATATTTCCCTTGAACTTCCAGACTAGGATGGATCCCCTGTTCTAATACTCTCTCAAGTCTCATGTCTCCTCAGTAACATTTATAACCACTGACCTGAATCAGTTCAGTTCATTTCAGTCACTCAGTCGTGTCCGACTCTCTGCAACCCCATAGACTGCAGCACACCAGAACTCCCTGTCCATCACCAACTTCCGGAGTTTACTCAAACTCATATCCATTGAGTCGGTGATGCCATCCAACCATCTCACCCTCTGTCACCCCCTTCTCCTCCCGCCCTCAATCTTTCCCAGCATCAGGGTCTTTTCCAATGAGTCAGTTCTTCACTTCAGGTGGCTAAAGTACTGGAGTTTCAGCTTCAGCATCAGTCCTTCCAATGAACACTCAGAACTGATCTCCTTTAGGATGGACTGGTTGGATCTCCTTGCAGTCCAAGGGACTCTCAAAAGTCTTCTCCAACACCACAGTTCAAAAGCATCAATTCTTCAGGGTTCAGCTTTCTTTATAGGCCAACTCTCACATCCAGGTATGACTACTGGAAAAACCATAGCCTTGACTAGACGGACCCTTGTTGGCAAAGTAATGTCTCTGCTTTTTAATATGCTGTCTAGGTTGGTCATAACTTTTCTTCCAAGGAGTAAGCATATTTTAATTTCATGGCTGCAGTGATTTTGGAGCCCCCCAAAATAAAAGTCTGCCATTGTTTCTACTGTTTCCCCATCTATTTCCCATGAAGTGATGGGACCAGATGCCATGATCTTAGTTTTCTGAATGTTGAGTTTTAAGCCAACTTTTTCACTCTCCTCTTTCACTTTCATCAAGAGGCTCTTTATTCTTTGCTTTCTGCCATAAGGGTGGTGTCATCTGCATATCTGAGGTTATTGATAATTTCTCCCAGCAATCTTGATTCCAGCTTGTGCTTCATCCAGACCAGCATTTCTCATGACATACTCTGCATCTAAGTTAAATAAGCAGGGTGACAATATATAGCCTTGACATACTCCTTTCCTGACTTGGAACCAGTCTGTTGTTCGATGTCCAGTTCTAACTGTTGCTTCCTGAACTTCGTATAGCTTTCTCAAAAGGCAGGTCAGGTGGTCTGGTATTCCCACCTCTTTAAGAATTTTCCAGTTTGTTGTGATCCACACAGTCAAAAGCTTTGGCATAGTCAATAAAGTAGAAGTAGATGTTTTTCTGGAACTCTCTTGCTTTTTCAATGATCCAGTGAATGTTGGCAATTTGATCTCTGGTTCCTCTGCCTTTTCTAAATCCAGCTTGAACATCTGGAAGTTCACAGTTTCACATACTTTGAAGTCTGGCTTGGAGAATTTTGAGCATTACTTTACTAGCGTGCAACATGAGCCCAATTGTGCAGTAGTTTTGAGCATTCTTCGGCATTCCCTTTCTTTGGGATTAGAATGAAAACTGACCTTTTCCAGTCCTGTGGCCACTGCTGAGTTTTCCAAATTAGCTGGTATATTGAGTGCAGCACTTTCACAGCATCATCTTTTAGGATTTGAAATAGTTCAACTGGAATACCTGTATATAAATTGCCATGTTCGGGGTCTGTCTTCCCCAGTAGACACAAAGCTCCATGAAAGGTCAGGGACAATGACTGACTTCAGTGACTGGTGCGGTTACAGATGAACAACAAAATGTCCATCTATTTAACAATTATTGTTAAAAAAAAAAATCACAGGCAGTCTAACAGACAGAATTCAGTGCTTCTAGTAAAATCCTGAAGAGAACACAAGGATAACCATGGAGACAGCTGTCACTGGGTTTTGAC